AGCAAGTAGGACGGCCTTTCATAAACATATCACCAGATGATTTACCATTAGGAGGACCACATATTTTGATGATCCCCTCGAAAAAAGAAAGACGAGCTCAGACAAGGAACCAGCACTGAAGAACTGCACAGGGAGAGTATGTATGGTTGACAAAGGGAGGACTAACGAGCTGATTGGGAGCAGGTGTGAAGAGAGGCTTCTAAGAAAAGAGCAAAGGAAAAGGAAACCAACACAAGAGGGCAACAAAGAAAAGCCTAAGAACTCAAATACATCCAAAAACACAACAAAATAGGAATTAAACCAATAAAACTAGAAAGCAAAGAAAAACATGAATCAATATGAAAATGAAAACTCAGAAAAAACTTAACATAACCAAGACCATAAAGATTTTTGCTCATTGAGAAGTCTCACACTTTGCTTGACCTTCCAAAAGTAAAGGTTAGCATCATATAATGGAGTGAAAAAATAGCACCAATAACAAACTAAACATGCAGGTTATCTACATGTCAACAGTTGACTTTGAGAGATAAAAATTGGATATAGGACCATTTCATTTACACATGCATGAATCCCATTTACAATGTAAGTAACTTGAAGGTTACAATACATTTAATTTTTGTTTCAGACTTAGCAGGGCAGAATAAATACAAATACAGGTCCGAGTATTAACTTCTAAAGACCATGCATCTTTTCCACCTACTTCCAAGCTGTGCTATGTGCTTACTGTTACGCATGTTTTGAAATTTGGTTAGAAATATATTTAATACACTTAACAAGGAAACATCAAAAACATGTACTGCCTTTGATGTCAAACTTATGTTTATATTTGTTCAATATTTTTCATATAAAAGTCATAATAAAACTGTTAACTGAATTCCAATAAGAGTATATAGAAATAGGGCTGACCCGACCTTAACATTTGGCTTTGTTGATGACCTATGAAGTAGAAAAGTTTAAAGAGATGGAAATTTGAAGATGTATTTTGAATTACCATAACCAAATAAACTCCAAGCCAAATAAGAATTCCTCTCTTCAGAAAATTCATTCAAAAGATTTTAATCACCATGCATTTATCTCCACAGCAACCCGTGATGCCTCTCTCTGTGTCATCGCCAACCCAGCCTTTGTGGTGTACTCCTCTATCGTCTCCTTCTACGTACCCTTTATCATTACTCTTCTGGTTTATGTGCAAATTTATGTGGTCCTGAGGAAGCGCAGAAAACGTGTGAACACAAAGCCAAAGCGGCGTGTGTGTCAGCCCGCTGACACAGACATAGCAACTTCACTAAGGGTGAGCAGCTTCAAAATTATGGTTTCTGTTTACAGCCCAGCAGCTTTATGTATTCAATATGAATGATTTAACTCTGTAACAGTAGGGCTCTTTATTTTTATGGGCTATTTTAGTGCAAAGCAAACATGTGGGTATGTACGAAGCCCTGGATCAGCAACTCAATATTTTTTCAGCCCAATTATATCTGACACCTTTACAACACTCATTTTTTAACTACTGGTATTTTGTTAAATTGTGACACTTCATAAAATAAAATAAAAACAATAAAAAATGCAGTTGCATATCATCCCAAAAGTTTGAATAAAAGGTACAATTCCAGAAACCTTGACATTTTAATACTGCTTTATGAACATAACCTTATAAATGAACATAAACTGCATTATGTAAACATTTTGTGACAATTAACCTAGCAACATTGGAAACTTATAGAACCCCCTGTTGTAAAACCCAAATTTTATGGTGAAATATTACTCAATCTTATGCATAGTCTCATATCGGCCATTGGCCAGTAAAAAAATAGAAGAATATTATTTCGTTTTCACCAGAAAATTAGCAAACTATCACTACAGGCTCTTTTAAGCATTGCATTTTTACCATGTTTTTACATGTATTTCGGAAATAAGGACCTATTCTATCAATAAAATTTGTTTGGTTTACAATGCAATATAATACAATACAATTCTGAAAAGAATGATTTTTTTTTCTCCCTATTCTTTTTTCATCTGATCATACATAGAGTAATATTTGACCTCCTGTTTATTGACAGAATTTAGACTGTTGTTTACACATTCTGCCCCCTCCTAGCCTCACTTAGCTGCTGTCTCTGTTACAGGATAAATGCACTCATCCAGAGGATGTGAGATTGTGCACCATGATTGTGAAGTCCAATGGAAGTTTACCGACCAACAAGAAAAAAGTGGTGTGTCCCCTTATTCTGTTAATTCTTTGAAATCATTTAAGCCTAATTTCTCTTCAAGATTCTTCTTTTTAAGACAACACAAGAGTTGTGACTAATTACTGTTTTAAGAGTTTCCCATTTAATTAACTTTTATTTTATCCAGCTCCTTCCTGTTGGTATAACCATATGAAAATATTTTTTCTTTGTCAAATTCAATAAATAATATTGAAAGTTAAACATATATAGGAGTTGGATTGCTAAGTCGAGGGTATTGTCCTGTCTGCCATGCACAAAAGGAGGGAATATGGTGAGATTAGAGACAAAGCTAAACCTATAATTTAATGGTTTAAAGTTGGAGAAATGGTGGTTAAGATGGCCTGATCTGCAGAGAGAGAGAAAGCAATCAGTGGCAGCATTAAGATTTCTGAGAGGTCAAGTGGTCAGAAAATAGACTGTAAAAGAACTGCAACAAGATTTTCTCCCAACAATTTCAAAAGTTTATATTTTCACTACCAGATACATGGTAAAAACTGAGTTTCCATGGCTAAACTCAAAGACATGTACACTGTGACTAACAAAAACCCAGTCAGCCCCAATTTGTTTACAACTACGTATATCAATAAGTTCAAGTGTTTTTAGAATTCTGTAGAGCACTGAATCCAAACAGGTTATTTTTTTTTATTTTATTTTTTTTCCTGGCCGATGGATGAGCAGGATTGTGGAGAAATAATAATGAAGGGACTTTGGATATCAACCTGCCTTGAAGGAAGTGTTGTGGTGGTTCAGTGATGCTCTGGAGTTGTAAATCTGCAGCAGGTCAAAACAGCATAAGGGTGCTCTACAAAATACTTAGCCATGAGGGAGTTGAATAACTTTGAGATGGCTGTCCTCATATAGTGTGACATTATGTGTTTAATAAAAAATGCAATGGATTAGCTGTGATGAACTATTTAACTTGCTCTTGTTTTAAATTTTAATGCAGACAGCTACTTTGTATATTTTCCCACCAAACCAGACTTACAGAGGTGATAATTGTATTTTTTATTTTACCCTTAAAATTGATTTTAAAATTCTTAGTAAAAGGAGATAACAACTGTGTCCGAACATCCACCCTAACCCCTAAATCCCTCAATGACTATATGGAGCAGGGACTATATAGTGGACTTTATAGTGAACTCAGTCAAATGACCGTCTGGACAATTGATCACTATTTTTCACTCGTCACGTAACTCTGCCTCCCCGCACAGTGCCTGTGCTATCTTTATTTATCGTCACTGTTGGGTAGCGACAGCAGGCCGCTGTGACAACAAATCCCATGATGCTTTGCGGGGAGAGCTCTCCTCACATAGCATTCTGGGATATAGCTGCTTGTCTAGAGAATGTCACTACCCGATCCGTACCAGTAGCACGATCCATACCATGAGCTCATTTGTGTATGCTCAACCAGACATTCATCTGGATCGGACCACTATATAGTGCCCTATATAGTGATTAAGTGGGACATTCGGACACAGCCAAGCAGTTCTCCAGGGGTTAGCTGGGTTTAGAGCGGCAAGGTGTAGAGAGTGTGTCCCCGTTAAAAGACACGGAGGCAGATATCTTAGATTCTTAGAAGCAAATTATTAACACATGACACCAAAATTGCACAATCTTTTTGTACTGTTGACAGTGCCTTGTGAAAGTAATCGTCTCTCTTGAACTTTTCAATCTTTTGCCAAATTTCAGGCCTCGAACACAAAGATATAAAATTTTAATTTCTCTGTGAAACAACAAGTGGCACACAATCATAAAGAAGAAAAAAAAATGTCCTTGTGACTTTGACTTGGCCATTCTAACACATGGATTTTTTTGTGTATGTGTGAACCATTCCATTGTAGATTTTGCTTTATGTTTTGGATCATTGTCTCATTGGCTCATTAAAAGATAAATCTCCATCCCAGTCTCAGGTCTTTTGAATAATCCCAACAGTTTTTGTTTTTTCCCAGGATGGTCCTGTATTTGGCTCCATCCATCTTCCCATAAATTTCAATCATCTTCCCTGTCCCTGCTGAAGGAAAGCAGCCAAAAAGCCTGATGCTGCCACCACCATGTTTGAGAGAGGAGATAGTGTGTTTAGGGTAAAGAGCTCTGTTGCTTTTACGCCAAACATAAAGTTTTCATTGTTGCCATACTTTTCGACTTTTGGTTTCATCTGACCAGAGCATTTTCCCACGCTTGGTATTTCTCCCAAGTGGCTTATGGTTAACTTTAAATTAGACTTTAAAGGATATCTTTGAGAAAGGGCTTTCTTCCACAAAGGCCAGCTTTTTTACAGTATATGATTGACTGTTGTCCTATGGAAAGAGTCCCCCACCTCAGGTTTAGATCCCTGCAGTTCCTCCAGAGTATTTATGGGCCTCTTGGCTGCAGCTCTGATCAGTCTTCTCATTATTTGAGCTAAAAATTTAGAGGAACGTCTGGGTCTTTGGATTTGCAATGGTCTGATACTCCTTCCATTTCAATGTTATCGCTTGCACACTGCTCCTTGGGGTGTTTAAAGCTTGGGAAATCTTTTTGCATCCAAATTCAGATTTTAACTTCTCCACAACAGGATTTTGCACCTGCCTGGTGTGTTCTTTGTTCTTCATGTTGCTCTCAGTACTTAAAGCAGAACACTGAGGATATCACAGAGCAGGTTAAGCTTATAACAGTTCAGTCTAGGCAACTGAATATGAAGTTTACTGAAGTTTAAGTTTACTAGATGATCATCACCTGGATGACAGAGAATCTTCACAGACACAGAGCAGGTGAACTTATACGGAGACTTGATTAGAAACAGATGAATTCTAATAATCATCATCAGTCATTTAGGTCAACACTGGATCATTCAGAGATCCTCACTGAACTTCTCGAGAGAGTTTGCTTCATTGAAATTAAAGGGGCGGATACATTTTTCACACCTCATTCTTTAGTTTTTTATTTGTTGAAAAAGTTTAAAATATCCATTAAATTTCCTTCCACTTCATGATTGTGTCCCACTAGTTGTTGATTCTTCACAAAAAAATTACAATTTTATATCTTTATGTTTGAAGCCTGAAATGTGGGGGAAGGTAAAAAAAAATTCAAGGGGGGGGCGAATATTTTTGCAAGGCACTGTATTTTGAATGTCACACATTTCTTCAATTGCTCAATGACAACCTGTTTTGCATATCTTGGACTTCAGATTTTCATCAAAGATGCAGCCACTGACGGGGATGATATGGAGCTCGATGAGCAAAACAATAGCGGCAGCAACCATAGGCAAAAGCATCTGTCACGTAGTGCTATCGGAGACACTCCGGCTACCAGCCGCCAGCAGTTAATGCCCAATAAGGCTAACACTACTCCCACCTCCACCCCTCCTACACCCCCTAAGGACGGCCATAAAGCAGAAGAAAACGGCGAGCCCAAGGAGTCCCAAGCGGACGCTGCACCAGTTGTAGCCAAGGCCTTCCAAACACAGGCCTTACCTAATGGCAAGACTCAAACTTCTGTCAAAAATATGAGCAAGAGGAAGATTTCTCAGCAGAAGGAGAAGAAAGCCACTCAAATGTTAGCCATTGTCCTCGGTAAGCTACGTTTATTTTAAATCGTATATCTTTCTGTTTTTTGAGAGGACTTTGATGGTTTTCCATAGCTCTGCATTTAAGAGACAGATTTCGGAAATATTTTGTAGCAAAAATGTCGTTAGCATCCTTTTGTAGTGACAGGCCGCGTTATGATTACTGTACTAATTAGCACTAATTACATCCCTCTCTATGCACATTTCATGTTGCAATATTAGACCCTTATTTCACCTCTTGCTAAGCCTAAGAAACAAGGCCGTCCTTATCCTACTTTTCCATTGGCCAAACACTTGTATCAAAGCCTTACTTCACTAAGTGCAATGCAAAAAATCTGATGTATTTATGTAAAGCCCCCTACCACAACAGTTTAGTGCAGAGGAGACATTTGTCACTTCATACTGTGTGGATCGACACATTGTTACTGTCAATCTGGCAACCCAATGTCCATGTGTTGGTTTGATTGCCAGGATGATAGTACTTGTCTCAATATATATGGTGGGAGGCTGTATTAGTCCTAGCCCCTTATTTACAGTAAAAAGATCTCCTAACTCTACACCATATTTCAACAGTATGCACAATTAATTTCTCCTTAATTTTATGGAACAGTTTATAGATCTCTTTTTCAATAAGTATGTTAGATAAGTAAAAACATGGATAATCCAATTTTAAATGAAGTTAGCTAGTCTTCAGATTCCTGACCTTAACCTAAAACAAATACCACTAGGATGAATTGGAGTATAATATGTGAGCTAGGGCATGTTTGGGTCTAATTATGGTTACAGCTAAGCTCTTCTCCGTTTTCAATAACTTTCTTTTCTCACATTTATATTTTTTGTCTCTTTTTATCTCCTCAGGTGTATTCATCATATGTTGGTTGCCATTTTTTATCACGCATATCTTGAACACTCACTGTACCAAATGCAAGGTTCCTGCTGAGATGTACAATGCTTTCACTTGGCTGGGCTACGTGAACAGTGCTGTAAATCCTATTATATACACCACCTTTAATATAGAATTTCGGAAGGCATTCATTAAAATTTTACACTGTTAAGCTGCTGCATCCCTTACATATTAGACTGAGGGAGAAGGTCTAAATAAACGGTTGGCAAATACCTCATCCTTCAAAAGGAAAGTGCACCACAAGGAGAGAAAACCGAAAGGTAACTAAAAAAAACTGGAAGTATCTTCTTGGAAGGCACATTGACGCTGTCTGTGTGAGTTGTTTGTGGAGCCCTATTCTCCAGATAACTGAATGTAAAACAAGAAAAGTCTGTAACAATGATCTGTTAATTGAGAAAAGGCAACAGTTCTCTAAAATCATTGTGTGTGTTATGTAAGGAGCCATCTGTGTATATCACACATACACGTAGCATACTGCTATTTACTGTATGTGTACTTAATGTTTTCATGATGAAAAAGATATGACTTCAGTGTTCAAAGCACTGTTGATGTTGATGCATCCAATCTTGCTCTTGATATCTATCAAGCATAGTTTGGGTTGAGACTGTCTGTCAAACTGTATGTTTGCTTTCTCAAAATTGTGATGATGCCAATATTTGCATTTTATAAATTAATTATTCTACTATTAAAGATATATCTTAATTGTTTAGAAGATAATTATAAAAGTAATTTATTTAATAAATTGATTTAAAAAAATGAAAGTTATTGATTCATTACATGTTGAGTAATGTATTTCAAGTGTTTATTTTCCTTTTATTTTCCATCAAAGCAAGAGTGTATAACTTTTGACCCAAGTATTAGCCTAATTTTGAGATATAAATTAAATGTTTTTTCAGGCCAATATACAGCACTTAACGTGTGTATTATTGATATCATTCGAGGGGGTCTAATGTGTCACTGATAAGTTATGTGATCCAGAATACTGCTTTACTGCAGTCTGAGCTCCCTTTCAACACTGGAGCTAACTAAGCTAAAAATTATTGATTGACAACCAAAAAGATATAAGACTAACCATTGAATCTAGAGAAGTGAATGAGACCTTGTATCTCAAGGACTTTTCAATCTGCTGGTCCAAAGTGGTCCACGTTACACAGTGTTGCTTTGAATTATGTCTCACAGCTGATGAAAACTGAAAAACTCACTTTATTAAAAAGTTAAATATTACCTAGACCTAATAAAGACACTTTATTTTTGGTCTATTCAATTCAGTTTAATTTATTTATATAGCCCCAATTCACAACACACGTCATCTCAAAGCACTTAAGAGAGACAATACAACTAGATCATACAATCAGAATGTTTGAAAACCAAACAGATATGAGATTAACCATTGATTCTAGAGCAGAGTTACTCTCTACAGTTGAAATCAGAGTTAAATCAATCAAATTAAGTGATACCATTGTAAATTTATTAGGTAGTAATGCTTCTGTCAGAGTAAGGATCTGGAATAATGGTGCTGGAATAATGAACTTCTCCATCAATCTTTTCAGCAGAGGAAACCATAAAGTTTACTGATATGTCCCAGTAGATGGTCTCTCTGAAGTTAGACTTATAAAAACAAAAAAACAGAAAAAACAAAAAGATGAAATGTTATTCTGAATCATTACTGATATTGGAAACTTTGCACTGTACGGTATATCAAGCAATGTGACTTCTGGGCCTCTTAGCTCTTCTTTCATATGTGGAGGTTGAATTCCAGATAGATTGCAAAATAAACATTCATCTGTAAAGCAGAGTGTAAAACACTGATGACAGATTCCAGTTTTTTTTCTCCTAAACTCTGGTAAGATTCTGCTGGATAAAAGCTTCACTCGCAGATGTTTCGCCCAACCATTCTTCAGTCTGAATTGGCCGTAATGTGTATTTTTAGTACCACATGTTTATATCACTGTAAAGTTATTCCCTAACTTTTTTTTGGAAAAAGATTTATTTATCTGCTTATTTTTGTATGTTTTTTTCTTTCTCCTTGAACCCCAATCAGCCTTGGCAGATGGCAGCTCACATTGAGCCTGGTTCTGCTGGAGGTTTCTTCCTGTTCAAAGGGAGTTTTTCTCCTCCACTGTCGCTACAAGCACGCTTAGTGTGAGGGATTGCATTCGAGTCAATGAGTTGATGCAATCAATTGGTTTTCCTAGATAGAAAACTTTCAGTCAGTTTAACTGTATGATCTGGTTGAATTGTCTCTGTAAAGTGCCTTGAGATGATTTGTTGTGGATTGGCGCTATATAAAGAAATTGAACTGAATTGAATTGAAGAGATGAACACAACCAATTGATTTGTTCTAATTTTTGAAAGACTCTTAAATAAGTTTTTTTTGTTTTTACCTGCCCCCATAAAAGTCAGATTAGTATTAGAAAACACTGCAGCACTTTTTGCTTACTTAAAACTTTATTTTCAATAAAAAGACAGTGATAAAAAAATATACTTTATTTTCAAACTACCAGTCACAAAGTTTTGCTCAGTCATTCTTATATAGAGACAGTGACAAACCTTGATTTTTATTTTTAGATTGTGTAAAAGTAAATTTGTACTTTCAGTCAGTAGAACTGGTGTTTAACCGGCTCCAGTACCAACCCCTTGGAGGAACCACTTTAATGGAAAAAAAATTGCTTGTTTTTGTTAAAATTTTGTCACACGCATTATAATTTGACCCAACTATCCTTCAGTATGCTTGAAAGTACTTCTATATGGTCTTAAGACCATATTTGTTTAGTAAAAAATGTATTCCTAAAAAAATATTCTGGAATGGAATTTTAAGTTTTCATTAGCTGAAAGTCATACTCATCAAAGTTGCAAAAAAAATACATGTTTGAGTTATATTCCTCTTTCTAAAATGACACTACATCTCAGTCTCAGTTTTGAATTGAAATTTTAATTATATAAGATTTTCTATATTTTATTTAATGAGGTGCATGTGTTATCATTATGGACATTATGTTTTATGTCCTGTACTGTACATATATTTCTTAAAGCATTATCTGTGAATATATGCCTGCAATGGAAAATGATGCATGCTACACTACTCCTTTACTTGACTTTTCATGAAATGTATGTTACAAAACAAATTGCCAATAAAATAAAATGTGTAGTTAAGTGCCAAACAAATTCATTGTTTATTGTATGAGTCCGCATAAGCCTTGCTATAACTTAAACCTGTCAGTATTTTGTGGTCCCCATTTGATTAATGTAACGGCATTTCTGCAGCTGAGTTGTTTCATGGCAATCTCATGACCTGTATGTGGAGTGTGTTGCTTCCAGGTTTAATTATTTGGATGTGTGTAACTCAAAATGCTGCTCTCCAGGGGTTTTGAAAGTGAGAATGAGGTTAAGTCAATGCAACGGAAAGAAAAGCTGCCACAATAAATCACTGAATATTGTTAGAGTGACACATTTGCAATTTATTTCAGCTTTTAAGGCATTAACAATAAAGGCCATGGTGCATTTAAGCAGCCCTAAGCAGAGTGGTAGCAAATAGATAATAACTAGAATGGAACTAAATTAATTACCAATTCTTAGACTTACCTTTTAGCAATGTCGAATTGATATACACAGTAGATTAACAATCAAGAAAAAATAGTTACTGTTAACTGTTTTTTGTTAAGAGGGGATTATAGTTTATTTAATTCAAAATGTAATTTATTTAAGTGAAGTTTTTTTCCTTGATTTCATTGGTAATTGTTATTGTAACAAAAGGGGAGGTTACAGCTAAAAAAGTTTAGGAACAATTGGTCTAACTGATCAGGGTCTCAGTAGAAGGACCGTATACAAGGAAAACATTTAACTTTGACAATATTGCAGTGATTTTATCATTTATGATAACACAACCTTTTCATGGCTCTTTTTTAACATTATGTGGCCTACATTCTCTGTGAGCTCTAGAATTTTGGTCTTTAAAATCCAAATCAAATCTGGAAAGTCAGGTCATTGAAAGTCCATAGAAAAGGCTTAAACTGATATTTTGTATGCCAAAATGTCATACACAACACTTAAATTATAACTTACCAAATACTACATCTAATAAGTCTTTAGGGATTGCGCCACAGCACACATAGATATCACTAACCCCACATATGATTTATTATTACTTAATTAAATTTTACGAAGAAATATAAAGTAGTCCTTATCTGCGTAGTATAATATAAACCAGTTTAGCAGCCAAAAAGTCCCACCTTATTGTTAACTGCCATCATAAGATTCAAAACACCCTCCCTCAAACTAGACAATCAAAGTCTTAAAAAATGTTAGACCTAACTATTTTGCAAACCACTGCAGGTACAAATGTTGTTAGCGAAGGTCACAGGTTTTAGTTGAAGACTGTAGCTACATGTACAGTTATACCATATTGCACAACATCAGAGAGACCTGACGGTGTCTCGAGGTAGCAGCCAGGAATAGCTCTCAACAATTCCACAAAATATGCCGTTTAAAACACTACAAACCAGGCATTGATCCTGTATCTATGACCGCCAACGCTTGCTGGGGCTACGGTCACAAAATGTTTTAAATACAACCCCTCTTGACTGTTAAAAAAGCTGCGGAGTGCTATGGACCGATGTAAACAAAGCAACAGCAAGCTCATGTACCACGCCAGGCCGAAGGAAGAGATGCACAAGACGGAGGAATCGAGGCTGCAGAGGAGGACTAATGGCGAAGCTAAGGAGAAATCCCCACAGACCAGCACTACAATCAATCCCGCTCATTGGATAACAAAATGGATAATCTCTGACTCAAAATCTTCAATAACGGAGACAAGTAACTGCTGCGCCATCATTCTGACTGATTCTTGGCTCCTTCCAGCAATACAAGACAATGTTATTAGCCTGGAGAGACTAAAGCTATACCGTGCAAATACAAGCATAAAGAACTCTGCTGTAAGACTAGGGGTGGCGGGCTCTGTGTTTACATCAACAACAGCTGGTGTAAAAATGCTAGATTGGTCGCCAGCTTCTTCTCTCCAGACATTGAGTTTCTGACTGTTACCTGAAGACCATTGTATCTGCCAAGAGAATTCAGTATGGTTAGCATTACTGCTGTTTATGTGCCCCCCAGCGCTTACACAAAAGAGGCCATGAAACTCTATACCAGGCTATCTCTGAGCTTCGATCTGCACAAAGAGAGGACATTTTCTTCATTGCTGGGGATTTTAAACAGACTAACTGGAAGACTGCTGCCTCATTTTTACCAACTTTTGGACTTTGCAGCTCCGAGTGAAAACCTATTCTAACAAGTCCGTCGGACTAAGCTATTTACCATTGATTCGACGAAAGGCATTATCTAGCGCCTTATAGCACCTTTGAGGACAGCTAATAGTGGCCTCTCTTGCTGGGGAGTTGGCAACACTGGTGAAGAGATGAGAGGAGCAGAGAAGAGAAGCTATTGAAGAAAAATTCTAAATTTTAACTGAAAAAAGTGTTTAAATATATGAAGGAAAATTAATTTAATTGAAATGGGTATTAGAGTTCACAAAGTTGTTGTTCTCCGCATATCCAATACTGCTCAGTTCTTTCCATATTGTGTCATTTTAAAACAACTTTGTCAAAAAAGAGCCAGTGTGTGATGAATAAATTCTCTGCTCAGTGGATGCCAAT